ACCAGTGGCCCTAAAGAAAAAAGCGTATAATTCATTAAGGGATGGTGACTATTATGCTCCTATGTTTTTTCAACCACATATTTTGTCTTTAGATGGTAATTTTTCAATCCATGCTCAGCAACCTGACACTTAATTTGAGTTAAATTAACCCCTTTCCCAGAATCTGTGCAGGGCTGTGTTGCCTCTGTGTTCTCACGGATTTAAGGTCAAAATCTTTCATCATTGGGCAGTCATTCTTCACAGTTTTGTTTTTATAACTTTTCCCTTACTTATTGAAGGTGGGAGTTTCCTTTTTCTTTTTTCTTTTTTGATCTTTTCTTTTGCTTTCAGTTGGTTTCAAAAGCTGGAAGTCGATTCAAAATGTCCAGTTCCCACTCTCTTCAACCAGAATAAATAGTCTTGAACATGCTTTTCTCTGAATGCAGCCCTCCTGGGGTTTCCAAGAAGGTAAATCCTCCCAGGGTTGCCTCTGCTTTTTGCATCCAGCTCAGCCGCTGGTGCTGGATTTCCGATGCCCTCTACGACCCTGCTGTTCCCGGTCCAGATAAGCTCCCCTCGGGCCCCATCCCCATTATCATCTTCACTAATCACGCCTCACTTTCAGAAACAGTTTTGGATACACCGTAGAGCGTGGTGCAGATACTAGCCCTACCTCTTATTTTCTTACTGCCCTGACTAGGATGCTTTCCCCTCCTGCCTATTTCTCAAATGCAACCTGTTTGGGTCTAAATGCAGCGTCTTCTCCTCCCGCAGCTCTTCTTGGGAAATGGCACCACCTGTTGCCCAAGCCAAGAACCTGGGAGCCCTTCTAAGTTCTCCCTTCACTCATCGCCCAGGGCACTCGACCTCCAAGCCCGCTCAGCTTCCTTCCCTGCCCAGCCTCATAACCGCCCCTCGTTTCCACCCCCGCTGCCGCCTGGGTCCCGCGGTCACATCTGCACCTGCGCCTGGCTTCCCGCCTGGGCCCCGGCCTCGCTCCCCGCCCGGCCCCCCGAGGCCCGCGCGGCCTCCCTTCGACGCCAGCCCAGCCCATCAGCCACGGCCCATCGCTCCGCGTCTGGCTCAGCCCTTGCTTCCNCGCTCCCCGCCCGGCCCCCCGCGGCCCGCGCGGCCTCCCTTCGACGCCAGCCCAGCCCATCAGCCACGGCCCATCGCTCCGCGTCTGGCTCAGCCCTTGCTTCCACTGTTCACATCCTACGCTGTTCTCCACTCTCCTTGGTTAAGTCCCAAAGTCTCTCCCTCAACGAGGCCCTCATGACCTGGCGACGATCTTTTGATCTTCCCGGCATCGGATCGCCTGTCTTCCCCAACACCCTTTCTCCCTGCTCGCCGCGCCAAACAAGTTGCTATCTTTCAAAAGCCTCTGTGTATGTTTTCTCCAATTAAAAAATATATGGTAAAATATACCAACAGAAGAGATACTCCCTCCATTTGGCTAGCTCCAAACTAAGTTCAGGCATCATTTTCTCTAAACCCTTCCTATCACTTATCCCTGGTCTGTTTTCAAGTGTCACTCCCTTGCGTTTCCAAAAACCTCCGTGCATACATCTCTCCCTGCCTAGCATTACGCTGCAATTGTTGGTTTGTTTTGCCCTGTCTTCCTTGATTAAAATATAAGGTGGTTAAGGCTAGAGACAGTGTCTTCTTTGTTTCTGGACTCCCAGTCCCTCCTATACTTGGTGTATAACATGTATTAAATACATGTTGAAAGCTGCAACAGGTTGAAATAATGAACTGTCTCCTCTGCATTAACATTTTGTTGACTTTAGAACAGGACAGGAAATGATTAAATGGAATTCCAGTAACCCTGGCTCTTCCGCACGTCCCCACTAACCCTGCTTCCAATGGGGCCATCATTCGTTCAGTGACATGTTGATTCAGATTGCCCTCTAGCCAATGGAAAGCAAGGATGGCGTGGACTCTGAGTCCCTTCTGTGTACCAGTGTTGCCTAATTTGTAAATAGCCTGTACCTGTGTAATCCTGCTTGTTGGGAGGAAAGAGGTTCTTTCTGAGTCTGAAAACACTAATGTAATGTGTGTTTACTGATAGGACGTCATATTGGATATCAGGGTATCGGGCAGAAGATTACCTGGAAGAGTCTAACTCAAAGTTATCTGGTCGTTTGAAATGAAGGGACTAGCATACTTAAGATTTTGAGCAGAACTGTAAAGTGGACCAATGATGGATTATAGGTCCAAACTAGGAGGGGGAAACTATATTGCATGGATTCTAAGGTGCTGTTTATATATCATATTTTAATGTATCTGAAACTGGAATGTATCTTAAAACAGATGGCATCTTAGATTCAGAGAAATGCAGTATTATAATAAGTATAAAAGAAATCTAATGTATCAATGTTATATCAGAGAAATATAATAGCAAATAGTATGTTTACACATTAAACCATGAAACAGACTGGAAAAAAAGCAATGAATGGCTTAAAACTTAAAACTTGAATTTACATTATTGTGATAGAATTTTTAATGACTTGATAATAAAACAAAAAAATCATTTATGAGCCCCTCCTAATTGCCAGGGAAAGTACATACGTCCTCAACTCCCTAACCCTAGCAGGTAGCTGTTACTAATTTCATTTTTTAGATGAAGATCCAAGAGAGTCTGGACCTGCCCAAGCTCACACAGCTAGAAAATGTCAAATATAATCGGCCTTCGAAACCTATTAGCTTTATTCTGTTCTGTGTCCCTCCTGAAGCAAGCACTGACCCTGAAGATAAAAATAATTATCTAAGACCAAAAATTTTTTTCACTTTGAGCAACTAGATCCTCATTGAAGATCAAACATATTCTTATGTGTTAGAAACTAACAGAGAAGATAGATAAGAAAGAGAGGCTTGAGCAAGCTTCTTGGACTTGGTCTATAAGAGCCCCGAGAACTGGAAATTTATGGGGGTTATTTCATCCCGAATGATCATAAACATGAAGTTGAATGCAGCTTCCCCAAAAATTCAGAGCTAGAACTGACCAAACTAAATATATTATAACTTTTTGTACTGGATTATGTTAAGTAAGGTCTTTGAGACTTAATATTTGACATCACTAAGGCCAAATATATTTTGTCCTAAACCTGTCTTGCTGTAATTGCAAATTTGTAGAAATACCTACTATTTAGCAGATAGGACCTATGCATGAAATTCAGTCCATCTCTCCTGTCTTTCTCTCCCATCTCAGTGTCAGCTTCAATCTAGCCTGAGTTTGCCCAGCCCCCTTGGAAACTCTAGATTGGATTGTTTACTCCCCATAAGTGTCCCAACTCCCTCTAGTTCTGATCATGCCTGGTATTAGGATCTTCCCCTTCCCCTTACTGGCTTGTTCCAATTCCATACTGATGTTCCAGATTGCTTTGAGCTGGGATGGTCTTGAACCTGAGTTTTGACTGTTGTTTGCCCTAAGCAGGTTTTAAAAGATATCCATTAGCCATAAAGTACTTACTAGTCATAATGCTTCGATTTATCAGAACAATTTGTGCTAATTATTAATGATTTTGTGCTTGTGTATATATTCCTTTTTTTTAAAAAGACAGCTTTATTGAGATATAATTTACATAATATAAAATTTACCCATTTAAGGATACAGTTCAGTAGATTTTAGAATACACAGAATTGTGCATTCATCACCACAGTCTAATTTTAGAATATTTTCAGTACCTCCTAAGAAAATTCTGTGCTCATTTGTAGTCACTTTCTAGCCCTAAGCCACACTAATCTACTTTCTGCCTCTATGGATTTGTCTATTCTGAATATTTCATATAAAAGAATCATACAATATGTGGTCTTTTGTGTCTGGCTTCTTTCACCTTTTATAGTGTTTACAAGGTTCATTCATGCAGCGTGTCAGATTATACACCCTTCCTTTTTGAGGCTGAATAATACTCCATTGTACATATGCGCAGTCGTGTTTTGCTTATCCATTCATCTGCCAGTGGACATGTGGGTTGTTTCTACCTTTTGGCTCTTGTGAATAATGCGTGCAGGAACATGGGTGTGCAAATATCTGCTCAGGTCCCTCTCTTCAATTCTTTGGGGTATTTACCCAGCGGCTCAGGTCTACTTTTACAGTTCCTTTCCCTCCCAGTGTCCCTGGAGGTTGGGCGGCCTGCTGGTATTTTAGCTATCCTCTTGTGGCAGCTGCTGCTCACAGCTGGGCCACTGCTGGGGTAGTCGCAGGTGTTTTCTGGGCCACTGTTCTCTTGGGAATGCTCAGTCTTCCCTCGCAACTCCTCTTGCTCTTCAACTTCCAGCCCCACCTCTCACCTCTTTCTGAATAGCTGTGCATGTCTGAATCCTGACTGTGGACACGGTTTGACTTCTCACCCAAGAAGGCTCTTTGAGCCCCAGGCAAATCCATTGATGCAAATAGATGGGTGTGGGGTAGGGAGAGAGTTGTGATAGATTATCATTTAATTTCATCTATTTATCTTCTCCTAACTGTAGAGAGCCTATAACTCAAGGAAAGGAATTTTTGAGACTTGAAATAAAATCAAACATACAAAGAAAAATCTATTGCGGAAGTGCGGATTTATTTTTTGTGGCTGTGGCACAAATCATACAAATATAGGTGCTTTCAATTGGAAATAGAAACCATGCACACAGGCTATTATATTAATTTCTCTGGTTGGAAAACTAAAGAAAATCAGCATATGTCCAAAGTCACAGAAAAAGTGAAGGCTCCACTATACTGTTGATTGTCCCTGACAAAAGCCTTCTGTGGGCCTGGTCTTGGTTCTGCTGAAGTGTGTTTTATAAAGACCTGGACAGGGTATAAGTATATTGTTTGTTCCCTTGGAGTTTTCAGGATCCAGCTCCTTTTTGTCAAGGGATTTGTAGATTTAAACAAATGTTCATCAAGTGTCTAGTGAGTAGTGTTTCTGTCCTACGCAGTACTTAAAAGGAAGAGAAAGACTATTGGGCCGGGGTGGGGTGCAGGGAGTAAGAGGAAAAGCAGTTACTTTGGATTAAATTGTTAAAAGAGGAAAGTTCTTTCATCTAGGAATAAGGCACAGCTTGAAAGGTGGAGGGATGTTCAAAATCCCAGAAATAAGGGGTTCGGTCTTTATGTCCTTGGGATCCACCAGGGACTTCAAGGAGAAGTTCTGCAGGACGGTGGTCAAGACGAGGAAGAGCTCCATGCGGGCCAGGCTCTCTCCGACACAGGCCCGCTTCCCTGCAAGGAGGAAACTTTCCCATTAGCTCACTCCAAGCTCAAGCACAATAGCTCAGATTCAAATACACTATTCCAAACAAACAAAACAAAACAAATACAGCATGCCCCGGAGAGCCATTGAAAACACTGATCAGAAAAGAGAATGCTTATCAACTGCCCGAGGACAATAAATCCATGCAGGAATATTTGCCAGTATATATCAAAACTCTCTCAAGGAATTTTCACTCTTTTATTGGGTTAGGAACCTCCTGGGGATTTATCCGTAGGAATGAGGGATGCACCTGTCTTTTATGCACCTGTCTTTCCATCTTTTATGCTGAACACCTATTATTATTGTTTCTAATGAAACAAAACATCTTAACTGTTATTTTTGAAAATACTTAGTAAATGATTGAATAAGATAAGGAAATGTGTGCTGACCAATCCTAAGTTGTCTTTATGGCCTTATGAAAATAGTAACTGGGAGCCAACCAGCTCTTGCAAAGAGGCAAGGGTATGTGGGGCTCAGATCTCAGAGGAGAAGACAAAATATGAAGTGGCCAAGGTCTCTTTGATGGCCTCTGGCTCTAAGAATCAAAAAGCTAATAATCATTAATAATTTTAAAGAGAAGAAAAAAACTTGTACATTTGTTTTGGAAAAGTCAATATTACAAAGGGAAAATCAACAGATAAGAGTTTGCAAAAGCAGGTCCCTTTGTCATCTGGTAATATGTGACATTTGAATTGGATTGACTGACACTGATTTCTTTAAAAACTGGCATTACACTCAGTCACCAAACAACAAAATAGTCCCTGGTGAGTTACCAAATCTGACTGGTGTACAGATTTAAATAGCTCCATACAGTTCCACCAGAAACTGTAACAGTTTCACTTGATTGACTTGGCTCTTGTCAGTGGATCACTTAGTTATGTCCTAAGTTCAGTGAAGTTGTCCAAAATGTGCGTGTGTATGGTTTGGATGGATTTATTTGTATTTACCAAGGGAAAAAGGTATGAAGTAATCTGTTTTCCTGAGGCTGCCATTTTCATCCAAAAAGTGTCCGGGGTCAAACTTCTCTGGATTGGGGAACTCTTTGCAATCATTCAAGACTGAAGACAATAATGGCAACACAGTAGTGTCCTGGAACCGAGAAACAAGAGAGGAGTTGTCATGCCTATCCTCGCTTCATAAACAAGGCTAACACTCTTAATTATAGCGGATCAAATAGGACTGGGCACTCTTAAGCCTGCCTGGTGAGTGACTGTCTCGAGCTATGGCTATTTTGCAAACCCTATCATACAATATGTTTTATCGAGTAATAAGATGGTTCTCTTGGGGAAGAGTGATGTTATGGTCAATGTGCAATAATCAGTTGTTGTTGATAAATGGGAGTTTGCAACCCACATTGTCTAGACACGTGCTTTACTGGAATTGCTGCCTTGCCTGGGAAGAGCCCACTTTTTCACAATTTGTTCCTTTCTGAATTCAGATGTGAATGGAAGAAAGTGAGACGAAAACTTCTATCCCATTAAGTTTTCCCAGACACATCTAACCTTGGGGATGACGTATTGTCTGAATTTTGTGTCCTGGATCACAGTATGGGGTAAATTAGAAGGAAGGAGGGTGATGTATCTTTGTATCTCATTCAACACTGCCTCCGTGTAGGGCATCTTCATCTTGTCCTTCATGGAGGGGCTCTGGTCGCGTCCGATCACTCTGTCAATTTCTTCATGAACTTTGGCTGCAGAGACATGAATCATGGATGCTACTCAAGAGATATGTTCCCTGGACACCCGGAAATTACCTGAAATGCTTGCACGTGCAACAGAACATCGTGGCCTAGAAAAGGCTCCCAACATCAAAGGCATGTTGCTAAGCAGCTCATGGCTCTGCTCCTGGTGGAATTTCTCTTTTTTATTTTGCTGTAAATGCCAGAGACTTTGCTGAAGGAAACATAAAGGTTGGGTTAACTATGTTCTCAGCCTCCTGGCTTCATTGGTTTGCTCTCATGTACAAGTGAGGCAAGGACCTTTGTGGCAGGGAACATGGCTTGGCCCATGATTCCTGGCCAAGCAGCTGTAGAGGGAAAATGTTTGATCCTCACTCTGGTGAGAGCATCTCCTTTGTCACCTTCATCCAGTCTCCTACACATTTTGTGGAAATGGAAAATACCGTTTTGTTGATCAGTATAAACACTGGCTTCATAAGGTCTGTGCTCTGGGAATGTGCTTGAAAAAATCAACCTACCACAATTTCATTTTTGAATGTTAAATTGTAACACAGCTAAAACTTCCGTTTGGGGAATCTGGTCCATTTTCTAATTGGGAAAACGGAGGCCTGAAAAATGAAATAACTTGTCTGAGGTCACATAGCCAGGTACTGACAGGCCCAAGATGAGAACCCAGCACGGCCACCCATGGGTCGCTCATCTAAATAGGGCCTACTCTTTGGCATTGCACCTCATATATAAGAATCAGGACTCAGAAGCTCCTCTGTTTTCAACTTAAAGGACAGCCTTTGAGTTCTTTAAGGTGTTTCTTCCTTGTCAGCATTATCACATAGAATTCTGATCTACAAAGGCAAAAACACATACACAGCCCTTTGCATGGTGCTCTACAAGGCAGCCCAGAGAAAGAAGCAGCAGTCACTGTCAGCAGTGTCTTCCCACCCTCATCTGGTGCCTGGGTCTTATTTTTCATTTGGTCACTAGAATATTTTTGCTGTACCTTCCACCTCTGGATGTTTCATTAGGAGCAGGATCCCAAACCTCAGGGTGGAACTGGTCGTCTCTGTTCCTGCTGCAAGCAAATTGGATCCACAGGTTGTCAGGTTCTCCAAGTAAAATTCAGACTTTGGGTTGTCTTTTTCCTGTAGATGGTAGAGTTAATGGCCACATGAGTTAAAAAGAGGGCAATGACTTATCAGAGCTCCACAATCACACTCCTTTACTAGTAATAGGCTTCATTTTGTGCACTGTTGTGCAGTGGATAGAAAAAAAAAATCAATCACGGATCGAAACTCCTATGTTCAATCTCAGGTTAGTCAATGAACCGATGCGTGCCCTTAACAACTTACTTTACTCTCTACTCAGTTTCATCATCTGTGAAATTGGGATAAAAATGATAGAACATACCCCATAGGTTTATTATAAAGATGAAAAGAGTTAATGGGTGGAAGCTCTTGGAACAATGCCTCATATAGACAAATACTCAGTGAATGGAATCTTCTTTTATTATATTTAATGAAAAAGACCAGATGATAAACTCTATGCAGGCACAATGTAGAGAAATCACTGATTTATAACTGGTCTGTTTCCTTCACATACACTGATTTAGATGCTCTTGGCCCTACCTTCTCCCATATGACATTTGTCATTATAATGACATTTCTAATATGAAAACTGTATTGGAGGACATTTTTACTCATATTTTTTTAGACGGGATCTACAAAGTGTTTAGAAAATAAATTGATACAGGACTTAAAAATAGTGAGTTTTCTAATTTAAAATGATTCCACCAAAAATAATATGGATTAAGTCTTCTTTGTGGATATATCCCCCACACCGGGCATAAAAAGGGGCACTAGACATTTGTCAAATAACTAAATGTTTAATGATATTTCACTGGTTAATAAAAATTTCTATATTACTATATATTTAAATTATTTTCATTGCTGATTATTTTTGGTGGGCTTTTAATACCACTGGTTTTTATTTTTTAATTTTTTTTAAATTTTTTTAAAAAATACATCTTTATTGATTTCAGATAGAGGAAAGGAGAGGGAGAGAGAGAGATAGAAACATCAATGATAAGAGAGTCATTGATCGGTTGCCTCCTGCACACCCCCGACTGGGGATCAAGCCTGCAACCTGGGCATCTGCCCTGACCGGGAATCGAACCCTGATCGCCTGGATCCTAGGTCAATGCTCAACCGCTGAGCCACGCCCAGCTGGACAATTTTTATTTTTTTATTTTTTTAATTTATCTTTATTGTTGAAAGCACTACAGGTGTCCCATTTTTCCCCCTAATTGATCCCCTCCACCTCGCTCCCACCCCCTCCCCAGGCCTTCACCCCGTCATTGTCCGTGTCCATGGGTTATGTATATGTGCATATAACTTCTTTGATTAATCTCCTCCCACCCCTCACCCCCCTTCCCTCTTCCCTCTTCCCTCTTCCCTCTGAAATATGATTGTCTGTTGCATGCATCAATGTCTCTGGATCCACTTAGCTTGTCAGATTCTTTTGTTCATTAGCTTCTTCTTAAAGAAGACCCTTCAATATTTTATGTAGTACTGGTCTGGTGGTGATGAACTCCTTTAGCTTTTCCTTGTCTGAGAAGCTCTTTATCTGACCTTCAATTCTAAATGATAGCTTTGCTGGGTAGAGTAATCTTGGTTGTAGGTTCTTCCTTTTCATCATCTTGAATATTTCTTGCCACTCCCTTCTGGTCTGCAAGGTTTCTATTGAGAAATCAGCTGACAGTTGTATGGGTGTTCCCTTGTAGGTAGCTAATTGCTTTTCTCTTGCTGCTTTTAAGATTCTCTCTTCATCGTTAACCTTTGGCATTTTAATTATTATGTGTCTTCCTGTGAGCCTCGTTGGGTTCCTCTTGTTTGGGACTCTCTGTGCTTCCTGGACTTGTAAGTCTATTTATTTCCCCAGGGAGAGGAAGTTTTCTATAATTATTTTTTCAAATACGTTTTCAATTTCTTGTTCTCTTTCTTCTCCTTCTGGCACCCCAATAATACAAATGTTGGGCCACTGAAGTTGTCCCAGAGACTAATTATACTGTCTTCATATTTCTGGATTCTTTTTTCTGTTTGCTCTTCTGGTTGGGTGTTTTTTGTTTCTTCATGTTCTAAATTGCTGATTTGATTCTCAGCGTCCTCTACTCTACTGTTGATTCCCTGTAAATTATTCTTCATTTCAGTTTGTGTAGCCTTCATTTCTGATAGGTATTTTATTAGGTCATTGTCGATGGTCTCACTTGTTTTCATAATAGTCTTACGAATATCCTTGAGCACCCTTATAACCAAAGTTCTGAACTCTGTATCTGTTCACTTGTTTGGTTCTATTTCATTTAGTTCCTTTTCTAGAGATTTCTTCTGTTCTTTCCTTTGTGACATGTTTCTTGGCCTCCACATTTTGGCTGCTTCCAGGTGTTTGTTTCTATGTATTAGGTAGAGCTGCTATGTCTCTTGGAATTTGTAGAGTGACTTTGTATAGTAGGTGTCCTGTAGGGTCCAGTGGCTCAGCCTCCCCAGTCACCTGAGCTGGGCTTTCTAGGTGCTCCCTTGTGTGGGCTGTGTGCACTGTCCTGTTGAAGTTGAGCCTTGGTTGCTGTTGGCATCACTAGGAGGAATTGTCCCCCAGGCCAATCGGCTGGGAGAACCAGCTGCAACTGCAGCCAAAGAGCTGCTGTGCTGGAGACACCCCTATGGAGCAGGATTTACTTCAGTGGAGCTTTGGTGTTCACCAAATGAGCCCCTTGAGTGTGTCACTCGTGGATGTGGTAGGGTTGTAATCCAGCGTGGTCGAATCTGACCACCAGGTGCACTGTCTCTGGGGCCTCCTGGGAGGTGCAAAGTCAGCCTGTGCCAGTGCCTTGCCCAGGGC